TTTGGGGAGAACTGCTATCTTAACAGTATTACATATTATACTGCCAGAAAAGGTCTAAGATAGATAGATAGATGATAGATAGATACTCCTGTATATAAGTGATGGTATATATTTCTGTTATTAGGTCTTCTTCAATTTCTCTCAGCAGTGTTTTATAGTTTTCATTATATTGAAATTGACACTGCACATATTTTTGTTGAAGTATTTTATTTTCGGGTGCAATTGAAAAATTTTTTAAATTTTAAGTTGTGATTATTCATTGATTGTATATATAAATACAGTTGGTTTTTGTATACTGCTCTAATAAACTCATTTAAAAGATCTAATAGCTTTTTTGGGATAGCTGAGGCATTTTCTGTGTATGTGGTTGTTTAGTTTCTAAGTAAACACAATATGACATTTTTCTTTCCTATTTGTATGTCTCAGTTATTTTTCATGTCTTATTGCATTGATTATGAATATTGAATAGAAAGTGGTACTATGTTGACTAGAAGTGATAAGAGTAGACATCCTTACCTTGCTCCCTTGTCCCTAGGAGAAAAGCATTCAGTATTTAACCATTAACTATGTTAGCTGTAGGTTTATATTTGCTCTTTATTGGAGTAGTCAAATTATATATAATTGATATCCTTAGATTTAAATGTACCAGCTTCTTATTTTGTTTTTTATTACATTTATTATTTCTTTTTTCTCCTTTTGTTTCCAATTTTGCATTATCAGCTTTTTCTAATTTTTTCTCTATTAGGTTATTGTTTGTATATTTTATTGTTATTTTAATGGTTACCTCATCACAGCTCTTCTCAAATGAGATTCTGTGAGAGAATTAAGCCCTGTTGTTATAAGGCATCCATTGGAAGTAGTATATTGATATCACTCTTATACATCTACTATGGTATTAACTATGTACCATCATTAGGAGAATTAAGAAAATAGACATTCAGTTCATTTTGCTTCATTCTCTTTTAGAACCCTGACTGAAAAAGGTTGCCTTAGAAATTGCAACATAGAAGGGCCAGGTGTGGTGGCTTACACTTGTAATTCCAGCACTTTGGGATGCCAGGGTGGGAGGACTGCTTGAGCCCAGTAGTTCAAGACTAGCCTGGACAAGGCATTAAGACCTTGTCTCTACAAAAAATAAAAATAAAAAATACACACTGAATTTGTTTTAGCTAATTTTATTTTACTACTTCTAGGACAATGCAAAGACCTTATAATGCTTAAGTTCTACTTACCTCCATCTTCTTGTGCTATTTTTGCCATATATTTTAATTCTACATATTTTTAAAACTCCACAAGACATTCATATTGCTTTAATCAGTTAGTACACATTTAGATTCACCCAGGTACTTTATTTTTTCCAGTGCTCATCATTCCTGTATTAACCTTACCTGCATCTGGGATATTTTTTCTTTTTGAAGAATTTCCTTTAGCATTTCTTTTAGTGCATATCTGCAGGTAAGAACCTTTCTTGGTTTTTGAGAATATCTTTATTTTAACTTTTATTTAAGGCATTTTCTTTTATTAGGCAATTCTAGGTTGATACTTATTTTCTTTCACGGTTGAAAGACAACTTTCCAGCCGGGCTCAGTGGCTCAGCCTGTAATCCCACGTTTTGGGAGGCTGAGGTGAGTGGATTGCCTGAGCCCGCGGGTTCGAGACCCACCTGGACAACTTGGCGAGACCTCATCTCTACAGTAAATCAAAAAATTAGCCAGGTGTGGTAGCGCACACCTGTAGTTCCAGATACTTGGAAGGCTGAGCGGAAAGGATCACCAGAGCCAAGCAGGTCGAGGCTGCGGTGGCCGGGAGCGTGCCACTGCCCTCCAGCCTGGGCAACAGAGTGAGACTCCAACTCAAAAAAAAAAAAAAAAAAATCAAGCTGAACCTCATTTAAGATTATTTAACTGCAAAGAAAGAACAGTTAGACGAGCAGTTCTCAAAACTGAGATCCTGGCACAACAGCATTACCTTCATAAGGAAGCTTATTAGACACCTATAATCCTAGCACATTGGGAGCCCAAGGTGAGAGGACTGTCTGAGCCCATGGGTTCGAGACCAGCCTGGGCAACATTGTGAGACCTCATCTCTACAATAAATAAAAAAAAATTAGCCAGGCATGGTGGCATGTGCCTGTAGTTCCATCTACTTGGAAGACTGAGAAGGAAGGGATCAGCCTACAGCAGCTCGAGGCTGTAGTGGCTGTGAGTGTACCACTGAATTCCAGCCTGGGTGACACAGTGATACTCCAACACAAAAAACCAAAACAAAACAAAAAAAACCCCAGAAAACGCTAGGTTCGGTGGCTCAGCCTGTAATCCCAGCACTTCGGAGGCTGAGGCGAGCGGACTGCCTGAGGCCACAGGTTCAAGACCAGCCCGGGCAACTTGGCAAAAGTTCGCCTCTACAATAAATCAAAAATTGGCCAGGCATGGTAGCATGCACCTGTAATTCTGGCTACTTGGAAGGCTGAAGCAGAAGGATCGCTGGAGCCCAGCAGGTCGACACTAGGGTGGCTGTGAGCATGCCACTGCACTCCAGCCTGAGCAACGGAGTGAGACTCCAACTCAAAAAAAATAGAAACACAAATATATAGGCTCCACCCTGCAATGCTGAGTCAAAAACTCTGAGGTGGAAACAATCTGTGTTTTAATAAGGACCCCAGGAAATTATAATGCACACCAAAGCTTGATTATCTTTATGTTTGACATGTTAAAAAAGTACACAGACAAAGGTGATGCTAGAAAACTTACCAGCAAGTTTTGAAAGAAAAAGGAAAGGTGAAGGGTAAAATAGCAAAAAATGAAGAAGAAAGGGATGACACGGTGTGTTCCAGGTTTTCAAGACAGACCCAAGGGGACTGTCATTACCACTGCATTCTCCCTGCTATTTTACTAGGGTTGCACAAAAAATTTATTTAATTTTTACTATCTGCTTATGTGCTCAGCATAATAGGTGAGCCAACATTTGAAAATAATTGCTAGCATATTTTAAATTACCAATTTTCAAAACTCAGGAAATATCAGTAACTCATAATTATCTTAGACTAGTCTGAAAAGAAATAATATAATTTCTGACAGTATCAAATTATCTGGAGCTGACAGACTTAATCTTTTGGCACTCTCAAATATTTTCTATCTCTTTTTTTTTTTTTTTTGCAGTTGGAATCTCACTCCATCGCCCAGGTTGGAGTGCAGTGGCACGCTCATGGCCATCCCAGTGTTGACCTGCTGGGCTCAGGTGATCCTTCTGTCTCAGCCTTCCAAGTAGATGGAACTACAGGCACGCGCTACCATGCCTGGCTAATTTTTAATTTATTGTAGAGATGAGGCTTCATTTGCCCAGGCTGATCTTGAACCCATGGGCTCAGGCAATCCTCTGAGCTTGAGCCACCACGCCTGGCCTCTATTTTTCTTAAATTTGCTGCCTTTTAGTGTAAAGACAGACAAATTGATGCAAATATGTATCAATATCAATTTTTCTCTGAACTGAATATAAACAGAAGTAGAAACCTTATTTGAGATCTAAAATATTAAAAGTATATATTCCTTTTAAAAATTCAAAGCAGGTCCAGCACAGTGGTTCATGCCTATAATCCCAGCACTTTGGGAAGCCAAGGTGAGAGGATTGCTGAGCCCATGGGATTGAGATCAGCCCGGATAACTTGGTGAGACCTCATCTCTACAATAAGTCAAAAAAATTACCCGGGCGTGGTGGCATGTGCCTGTAGTTCCAGCTACTTGGAAGGCTGAGGCGGAAGAATCGCCTGAGCCTAGTAGTTGAGGCTGCAGTGGTTGTGAGTGTGCCTCAGTACTCTAGCCTAGGCAACAGAGTGAGACTCCAACTCAAAAAAAAAAAAAAAAGATAACTTTCCATTGTTTCCATCATTTCTAAGTTAGTATTGGGCTCTTGCTTTTCTGCACATCTTATAAGCAGAGTGGTTTGTTACCACTTGGTGTGGTCTGTCTTTGATATTACAAATTGTCATATACAACTATAGATATCTCTTTTTCCTTAATTCAACAATTGTGTTTATTTTGGTATATTTATTTTAAATGTATTTAAATAGCTAATTCATGCAGGTGATAAAAGAGTAAACTATTACAAAAGTAAATTAAAAATTTCTCAGAATTCCTCATACCCGTGACCATCTGACTCCCAGTTTTCTTCAGATGCAACACTGTTATCATCTTGGGTATTCTTCCTAAAGGCATTTTTGTAACCCATTTATGGGCAGAACTAGGAAACCCTTTCATATGGGTGGGAATACAATCATAATTTCATAGTACACTGTCAGATAAGCAACATGATTATCTCATTTGGAAGCCTATAGATGTTTTCACACAGTAAATCCAAACAGTGTATGAAAACTCAGTATTGAGGTGATTGCTGTACATAAGAATTGGGATCATGCATCTTTGTAGCTTTATTGTTAAGGTATTTAGAACACAGTACACGCTCCACTGGTGTGTTAACAATAAATTTTGTACTATTTCTAAAAATTGGTAGAGAAGATGCAAACAAAATCATTGAAGCATTTTATTTTCCGTATTTTTCTTTTTTACTAATACCATACTTTTAGCCCTAATTGCTACATAGTACTAGATAAAGCCCAACCAACTTATTATCCTTTTTCTAAACTCCTTCACACTGCTCCCCTTAGATGTGTTAATAATCTTATGTATTAGCTTATGTTTTGCTATGCTTATGTAGTAGCTCTAATTCAGTCACACTTTCCTAATCACCATGATTAGGTTTCAGTATTCCCAGATGTCCTGTGATAAATATACTGGGCATATCTGATAAGTCACTTCTGAAAATGATTAATATGATCTGTTTTGATACTTCCTTTAAGTTTTCTTCTCATAGGGTAATAATGTTCAGTGTTTTGGAGCATTCCCATGTTGTGATAACATTTTATAGGTAAATACTGATCTGCTTCACCTGAAATCTTCTTACAATATAGACAACACATTCCATTTGGATTTTGTTTGTTGTTCCAGATGAAAAGACCAATACCAAGATCAGAAAGCCAGTTTCAGAAGAGGAAATTACAGCAAAAATTGAACCACTGACTGAAGCGTCTGGCAACCTACGAGAGAATGTTCTCCAGGATTCTGAAGACAGAAAATTCTGTGAATTTGGGGATAAGTTAAAGGAAAAGGAACAGAACCTCTTTAAAAGAAGACAGCATAACTGTGATGAATGTGGGCAAAGCTTTGTTTGGAGTACAGGCCTTTTTAGGCATCAAAGGACCCATTATGAGAAACCCTATGAATGTGATAAGTGTGGAAAGACCTTTAGTGTGAGCTCAGCCCTGGTTCTGCATCAGAGAATTCATACTGGGGAGAAACCCTATGCTTGTCATTGGTGTATTAAAAGTTTCAATCGGAGCTCAGACCTTATCAAACATCAAAGAGTCCACACTGGTGAAAAACCATATAAATGTGATGAATGTGGGAAAGGCTTCAGTCAGAGCTCAGATCTTATTATACATCAGAGAATCCACACAGGAGAAAAACCCTATCAGTGCAGTCATTGTAGTAAAAGTTTTAGCCAGCGCTCAGACCTGGTTAAACATCAAAGAATCCACACTGGAGAGAAACCTTATACATGTAGCCAATGTAACAAACATTTTAGTCAGAGTTCGGATGTTATAAAACATCAAAGAATCCACACTGGTGAGAAACCGTATAAATGTGATGTGTGTGAGAAAGCCTTCAGTCAGAGCTCAGATCTTATTCTACATCAGAGAATCCACACTGGGGAGAAACCATATCCATGTAATCAGTGTAGCAAAAGTTTCAGTCAGAATTCAGACCTTATTAAACATCGAAGGATTCATACTGGAGAGAAACCCTATAAATGTAATGAATGTGGGAAAGCTTTTAATCAGAGCTCAGTCCTTATTTTGCATCAAAGAATTCACACTGGAGAGAAACCCTATCCATGTAATCAATGCAGCAAAACCTTTAGTAGGCTTTCAGATCTTATTAATCATCAACGAATTCACACTGGAGAGAAGCCTTACCCATGTAATCAGTGCAATAAAATGTTTAGTCGAAGATCAGATCTTGTTAAACATCATAGAATTCATACAGGTGAGAAACCCTATGAATGTGATGAGTGTGGGAAAACCTTTAGTCAGAGCTCCAACCTTATTCTTCATCAGAGAATTCACACTGGAGAGAAACCTTATCCATGTAGTGATTGTACTAAAAGCTTTAGTCGCCGTTCAGATCTTGTTAAGCATCAAAGAATCCACACTGGAGAGAAACCATATGCATGCAGTCAGTGCAATAAAAGTTTTAGTCAAAGCTCAGACCTCACTAAACATCAGAGAGTGCACTCTGGTGAAAAGCCCTATCATTGTGACAGTTGTGAGAAAGCCTTCAGTCAGAGTTCTGACCTTATCCTTCATCAGAGAATTCACACTGGCGAAAAACCATATTCTTGCACAGAGTGCAGCAAAAGTTTCAGTCAGAACTCAGATCTCATTAAACACCAGAGAATCCACACTGGGGAAAAACCATATAGATGTAATGAGTGTGGGAAGGCTTTCAGTCAGTGCTCAGCTCTTATCCTACACCAGAGAATCCACACTGGGGAGAAACCATATCCATGTGATCAGTGTGGCAGAAGCTTTAGTCGGCGCTCTGATCTCACTAACCATCAAAGAGTGCACACTGGTGAAAAGCCATATAAATGTGATGCATGTGGGAAAGCCTTCAGCACATGCGCAGATCTTATCAAACATCAGAAAATCCACACTGGGGAGAAACCCTACCAGTGTATTCAGTGCAGCAGAAATTTTAGTCAACTCTCTGATCTTACTAGTCATGAGAAAGTTAATTCTGGAGAAGATAGTCTAAATGTGATGAATGTGGGAAAACCTTTAGAGTACACATCAACTTTGTTCAGTACCAGAGACACCAAACCAGGAAAAAAATCTTATGAATGCTGTTGATGATGCTGGGTTTTAATCAATGTTCAACTCATGCTTCATTAAAACCACACTGGGAGAAAGCATTAATTTCAATTTTTATAGTGAAAGTTTAAGTTGGAGCTCAGAAATTACTAAAATTAAGAAAAATTCTGAGAAAGCATCCTGCGAGTTGTGGAAAAACCTTCAATGTGAATAAAATTTTTACTGAATGTCAGTATGCAACAATAGAAACATTCCTATCTTTGCTATAATGTAGGAAAAGCTCTAGAAATGTATAACATTGCAGAACTTATCAGATATTACAAAAATCATGGTGGGAAATGTTTAATCAGAACTTAGAAGGAATGTATTAATATTAAAATTGCAAACCTTTAGTGAGCTCAAATTACCAATATCAGAAATTATTTCAGATACTGTAGGTAAAACTTAAACCCCCTCTATATCTTAATTGGCATTTACTTGTATACTGATGTATTACTTATCCCCGACAGCTAGAGTCTTGCCCTATGCTAATACTAGATGTCTGCCTAAGTTTTCTGTGTGTGAACATGCTAGACCATTCTAGTATTACGCTTATTAACCAGATATTAAGCCCCTTTTTCTCAGAAGTTTTTTTGGTTTTAGTTTCATTCTTTGGGGATCTAGTTTTGGTCTAGTGAGCATGAGTTTGTACAAGTTCCTGTAATGTTTACAGCAAATATGGATTTATTTTGCTTTCAGTAGTGTAGCCCATAAACTTTGTTTGAAATTGCTTCTTCACTACCATTTAATCACAGCTTCTAAACATGTAAAACAAGAGTTTTTAAAAAATCATATGTCAGAGTCTGAAGATGTTTCTATTAGTGTTTATCTTGTCATCTATAGATTGAACACAGATGGTAGCTGTGATATTGTGATTTATAACAAGAAATACATCTTTGGTCTTGATCCCCTGATACAGAGCTTCTAAAACTCCAGGTTCTTCCTAAATGATAAGAGCAATTAAGATGGTAAGCCCCTTTCAGCTTCATCTGAATTTATGTTAATGACATGACTTTGAGAATGACCTTCCAGAACCACTAGATGGGGGCTGATTGCCAGGGGAACCGACCATGTGATTAGATGTTCAGATCAACCCCACCCTACCTTGACCTCTGGGAAGGAAGAAGTGAAAGAGTGATTCAGTCACCAATGGTCAATGATTTAATCATTCATGCCATGTGTTGAAGCCTCCATAAAAAGCTAAAAGGACCAGATTCAAAGGGCTTCCGGGTTGGTAAGCTTGTGGAGGCCCTGGGAGGGTGGCACACTAAGGGAGAGCAAGTTCAGTGTTATTCCCGAATACCTTGCCCTTTGCGTCTGTTTCATCTGGCTGATCCCAAGTTGTATCCTTTTATAATAAACCAGCAATCTAGTAAGCAAACTTCTAAATTTTGGGAGCTATTCTAGCAAATGCTCAAACCCAAGGAGGGGGTTGTAGGAACCTCAGGTTTGTAGCCAGTCGGTAAAAAGTACTAGTGAAAACACAGATATGAGATTAGTGTCTGAAGCTGGAGGCAGTCTTGTGGGACTGAGCCCTTAACCTGAGGAGTCTGTGCTAATTCCAGGTAGATAGTGTCAGAATTGAGTTGTAGGACACCCAGTTGATGTCAGCAGAGGATTGGAGAATTGCTGGATGTGGGAAAACCCAATGTACGTCTGGTGTCAGGAGTGTTGTGAGTGTAGACAAGGTGTAAGCTTTTCCTCTACAGTAGCTAAATTAATTACCTATGGTATTAATTTGTATAATATAGTCTGTCTAAAAATAAAAATCTTTTGATACTGTTTTGCAAGTGGCAACATTCATTAGACTTTTTTTGGTTTTTTTCTGATATTGATAATAGGCAACATACATGCAAAGTTTTCAACTGAAGAATAGAAATAGTTTTAAAAATTAAAAAATGCTTACACCTATCATAATACTACAAAAAAGAGATTGGTCGTAGCAGAATACTGGGGGAGGAGGGCCATAACATCAATAAGGGGGCCCAATCCTGATCCAGACCAAGTGGGGTCCAATGGGAGGCCCCAAACTTCACCTGTACCTAAACCACTTACATATGCGATCCTGACTTGTACCCCACAACTTTAAAATCAAATTAAACTTTTTTTAAAGCAATTTGATTAATTCTACTGTTATTTACTTCAGATATCCCCTGTAGTTATCCTCCTAATGTCTCAATTTAACAGACACTGTTAAATCTTATGGGCAAGGCATTTGGGGATGTTTTGTTGTAGTACAAAAAATGTACTGTCTCTTTCAGTAACGTATACTGTATAGTGACAGAGACTAATAAGTACAGAAAACATGGCACAATGTCATATAAAGGTAGGGCAGGATGCCTATAATAATTCAGAGAAGGCAAGGTTCAATTCTGACTGGAAAGAAAAGGGAAAGCTTTGTGGACCTCCTGAAATTGGGTGGGATTAGGGACATAAAGGCAGAGGGACGTGAAAGAATGATGTGGCATGTGGTGCTTACTCATTAATTCATTCAATAAATATTCTGTGTCGACTGGATCCCCATGATGAGGCAAAAAAAAAAATTTCACCGTCAAGCTCACAGAAACAGTTATAATGCATTATGAAAATACTGACTGAAACACTTAGAAGAGTAAGAATAAGATGGAAATGAAAATGAGGTAGGAAAAAAAGACTTAAAAATGAGGTAGAAAAAAAGACTTAAGGAGTGTGATGCTGAAGAAGCAGGCACTTTAATTTGCTTTAGCTCATCTGTAAAACAAAAGAACTAGTTCTGGTTGTACTAGATCTTCTATTTCTGCATTTTGTTTTCAAAGTAATGGGAAGTTATTAGTTTTGGAATCAAGGAATGACAGGATCATCTTCCTGCTTTAGAAGAGACTAGAGGGGGAGAGCAAAAAGGGAAAACCATTTTAAAAGTTTGGAAATAAAATGAGGTTCAGAAGTATAGAGGGGTTAAAAGGCATTGATATGGTAGGTTGAGAAGTGAGTAGGGAGAAAACGACCATTTATCATCTGTTCTTTGGGGAAATGACAAAGTAAAGAAGAAAAATAGGAATTATCTCTAAATCTATTTCTAAAAGTTTAGCTATCTTTTCTGAGAATAAATTTTAGGAGCTTACTGTACATTTGTATCTGATGTCCTAGAGATAAGTTCATGAATTTGATACAGACCTATAATTTCTTCCTCCTGAATTCCCTATCCTGATGAATTACACCTTGCCATCCAGATAAAAAGAACTCCTCACCCACCCAGTTTTCCAAATCTAGTTGCTCACTCGGTCTTAGAAATGAGTTGCAAAATTGTAAAATTCCAACAGTAGTGAGGAATCTAGAGTAAGAGGGAGGAGAAATGCAGAGTTGGGCCTGACACTTGGGTTGATTTCTGGCATTTGCTGATTCTCGAACTGGCAGGGCAAAGGACCAAGAAATCTATTCAGAGAATGCTGGAAGGTTAAGTGGAACTCTCGGCAGACTCATTGTGATAGGGACTTAAAACTGGAGTACAGAATATGCCACGTAGGCAGTGCCCTAATAAACATCCCACATCCTCAATGTAAACATTATATAGCTATATCCTAGGAGAAAGGATGAAACCTGTATGACCAATTCTAAAAACATCTAAAATGCAATGTCAAAGTCAGTCATTTAGTGAAGCAGGTTATCAGTACCTAATCTAGCTGCCAGTCAGAAGAGAGGAAAGGGTGAATCCTCTCCAGAGGATGGCCATCCAGAGGCTATAATTTTTCCTGCTCAGTATGTTCAATCAAAAGTTACCAAAACCATTAGAGCCGGAAGCCCCAATATGAACTCATGTATACATTTTATGCACAGATGGATACACTGAGAAGCAGTTAGAGAACATATGTGTATACATGGATTAGTATACATACATATACTACCTAACTCTGTTCTCTGAGAGCACCTGGGAACACTGACACTGTTCCACGAAAGGGCTGTATATACAAAGTGACCTCCAAATGCCAAAGGAGGAGGCAGACAAATCCAGTCTGTCAGTTCTGGGTGACTAATTAAGGGAACTTACAAATAGAAGCATAGTCTTGGATAGCTGCATGACAGATGGCATAGTTATTCCCCAGACCTCCTTTCTATGAAAAATCAAAACAATTGGTCTGGCATGGTGGGGCCTGACTGTAGTCCTAGCTACTTGGGAGCTAAGGCAGAAGGATTGCCTGAGCCCAGGAGGTCGAGGCTACAGTGAGCTGTGATCTTGCCACTGCACTCCTGTCTGGTGAGAGAATGAGACACTGACTCAAGAAAAAAAAAAGACTAAAAAGCAATGATCTAAGAATTTATCCCAAGAAGTTATAAAAAGAATAGCAGATAAATCTATTGAAAGTAGAAAGAAGTAAATGGTTAAAAGCATGAATTAATAAAATCCAAAAAATAAATTATTTTAAATAAAACAAAGGACAGAGTCCAAAACAGAACTTCTCTGGTCTCCTTGGGCTTATACATGACAATAATCTTTTCCCAATAATCTTCTCCTGAACTACTGGGTGAGTCACAGACATTGAGATTAATATCTTCTAAAGAATTTGTCTTTCAGCTGTCAGACCGGTCCCTCTCATCTGTGTTGTTGGCACGACCATCCATCCGATTATTGGTAGGTGAGAGACAGACGCCATCACCACCACAACATTTCAGTGACTAACCCACATATCTGCCTGCTGTCCATCACCATGACATCAGTTCCTGTGCTTAACTGCCCCCATGTGATGATGTAAAACAGACCACCACCCAATCACCTTAATGACCTGCCCCCATCAAAGGAAAGGTTTAAAAAGCATTCAACCTCAAGTAGTGGCCGCCATGCTTTTCTTAAGCTCTTGGCCTGCCATGCTTCCATTAAACTCTGGGGGTGAATCAATCTCAATCTCTCTCTCTCTCTCTCTCTCTCTCTCTCTCTCTCTCTCTCTCTCTCTCTCTCTCTCTGTCTCTCCTTTCTAAATAAACTATATTTTCCAATCTAATTTCTGTACAGTTCTTTGCATCTGACCTTCAAAACCGACCTATCCCACAGACCTAACAAAAACCAAAGTTCATTTTTTTAAAAAGAATAAAATTGATAATCCCCCAGTAAAACTGATTTAAAAAAATAAAGAAGGTACTATTTGTCAAAGTAAAGAATGTGGACATGGACACCAGCCAAGATTCTGTAGTCGTTGCAGATATAATAAAAATAATAATAATAATTTAATAGTGTTATCTAACAAAATTGAAAATGTACCCAAAATGGACACAAGAACTATAAAATCTGAATAACTCTGAGTCTATTGAAGAAATTATTTATAATTTAAAACTTGCCTATAAAGAATATTCCAAGCCAGATAGTTCAGTGGAAAATACATTCCGCATTAAAGGAAGAAGAAACTAATCATACACCATCTCTTCAAGGTAATGGCAAAAGACAGTACACTCGCCAACTAATTTTATGACTCATTTTGCCCCAGAGGGCAAACTCATCCCCATCTCCCCAGCAC